GGGGGGGGGGAAGAGAGGAGGAAGTCGGTGAACCTCGCGCCCCCGGCCCCTTCAGGTAGGTAAGGAGTAGCGCGGGCGCTCAACGCGCGCCAAGTTTAGAGTCTCTGGGTCTCGGGCAGCCTTAGACGCGGGCGGCGGCCGGCGCTTCACAATGAGCGTGTATGAAACGCGAGGGGAGGAGCCCAAGGCGGCCGAGAGGAAGATCCGGTGGCCACGCCCACGCCGCCGGCGTCACGTCAGGATTCTTCCGCTGTGGTGTGAGGTGTACGTCATAGCGTAAAGCTCTTCCGCCAAGAAAAAGACATCCCTCCCCCCCTCCCCACACACACACCGGTAGCTGTTCACGTAGCCAGGTAGCGGGCCTCCAGAGCAGGGAGTCCCTTCACTGTATCTGCTGTACGTAAAAGATTAGTGAGCATTGGAGTGATCAGTTTGAACGTGCTCATCCTGCCACACAGATGTGTGTCCATTTCTGAATTAAGTTCCCGCGGCTCTTACATCTAAATTGTGGCTTGACCACGCGTGACACTGAGCCCTCCACAAGGTAGCATTGCCAGGCGCCGGTGGCTCACGTGTATAACCCTCGCCACTCAGGGAGCTGAGATCTGAGGATGGCCGTTCTGCCAACCCCGGGCAGAAAAGTCAAGGAGACTCTTCTTACCTCCAAAAAACTACTTCGAAAAAGAGTAGAGCACTAGCCTTGAGCACAAAGGCTCAGGAACAGCACCCCGGCCGTCAGTTCAAGCTCCAGCCCAGCCCAAAAAAAAAAAAAAAGGCAGTAAGTTGGATGCCAGTGGCTTATGCTTGTAATCCTAGCTACTCAGGAGACTCAGAATTGAGGATCATTATTTGAAGCCAGCCTTGGGAGGAATGTCCATGAGGCTCTTATCTCCAATTAACCACCTAGAAAGCCAGAAGTAGAACTGTGGCTCCCATGGTATAGCACCAGCTTTGAACAACAACAACAAAAAAGGCTGGGGATGGGGTGTACTGGGAATGTGGCTTAGTGGTAGAGTGCTTGCCTAGCATTCATGAAGCCCTAGGTTCCATTCCTCAGTACCACATAAACAGAAAAAGCTGTGAGTGTTGCTGTGGCTCAAGTGGTAGAGGGCTAGTCTTGAGCAAAAGAAGCTCAGGGACAGTGCCTAGGCCCAGAGTTCAAGCCCCAGGACTGTCCATTATAGGTGACTCACACATATAATCCAAGCTATTCAAGCCAGCTTAGATCTTAAGGCTGGGGCTCAAAGCCAACCCTAGCAGGGAAGTCTTTGGAACTCTAGTCTCTACTTAACCACCAGAAAACCGGAAGCAGAGGTGTGGCTCAAACTAGCCTTGAGGAAAAGTGCTCACAGACAGCACTCAGGCACTGAGTTCAAGCCCCAAGGCTGACAAAAAAAAAAAATCTAAGGGACAGGGCCCAGGCCCTGGGTTTTTAGCCCCAGTACAGGCAAATGCACATACCAGTACACTCTCTCTCTCTCTCACACACACACACACACACACACAGCTGAGAGTAGCTTAAGTGGTAGAGTGCTTGACTAGCATTTGTAAGGCCCTAGGTCCAATTACCAGTACCCCTCCCCACTCTACCCCCCCCAAAAAAAAACCCCACAGTTTTACAATGAAGGAAATCATTTAAAGCAGATGGAATCTTAGCTGCTCAGGCGGCTGAGATCTGGAAGACAGATTAAAAGCCAGCCTGTGCAGTAAGCTGAAGCTGCAGTGGACTCCCTTTCCGACAACAGACCTTGTCCTTCCTCCACACTGCCTGCCCAGCTGTCCTTAATTCCAGAAAATTCCCTCTTGGTTCTCTACTTTTCCATTCTTCAAGCTCAAGTGTCAATTCTTCCAAGTGTCTTTTGTTACTGACTCCTTTGAGCCTCCAAAGCACATTTAAAATTAGCCAAGGGATTAGGGGTGGCTAGAGAATATGGTTAGCATGCCTGAGGCCCTGGCTCAATCCTCAGCATAAATACGAGACAACCTGCGGGTAGTGCATACCTGTATGTAGTCCCAGCTCTTTGTGAGGCTTGTTCAAAGCAAGCCTAAGTATTATAGCAAGACTATCAGCTGGGCACTGGTGGCTCACGCCTGTAATCCCAACTACTTAGGAGGCAGTGATCTGAGGATCGTGGTTCAAAGCCAGCCTGGGCAGGAAAGTCCGTGAAACTCTTATCTCCAATAAACCACCAGAAAACTGGAAGTGGCTCAAGCAGTAGAGTGCTCGCCTTGAGCTGAAGAGCTGAGGGACAGCGCCCAGGCCCAGAGTTCAAGCCCCACAACCGACCAAAAAAAAAAAAAAAAAAGACTTTAGCAATACTGGAGTTTGGACTCAGGATCTTGAGCTCAGGGCCATCATTTAGACCACACTTCCAGCTTTCTGTTAAGTTTGGAGATGGAGTCTCAAGATCTTTTCCCATGCATCAAGCCTGGGACAATTTGAGCCACAAAATAACAGTAATAAAATGGAAGAATCTATTCTTCCATACTATTGATAGACACACATACATACATACACAAAAAAGAAACATGGCTGAGGGAGTAGTTCAGTAGCACAACACTCTGCTGGCATGCACAAGAGTACTTAATCCTCACACTACAAAAACTGATTTAAAACCTACACACAAGTTAGCCAGGCACCAGTGGCTCACACCTGTCATCCTAATTACTGAGGAGGCTAAGATCTAAGAATCAGCCAGCCTGGATAAAAAAGTCCAAGAGACCAAAAAAGGTAGGCTGGAGGTGTGATGTCAGTTGGAGAATGCCAGCCTAGCAAGCCCTGAGCTCAAATCCTAAGACTGCTATAAGCAAGAAAGCCAAAACAAGCAGAGAAAAGGCTAGAGACTCATGATGACCAACAGCCAAACCTCATTACATGGTCTGAAGGAACACATTACCTTGTTAAAAGCAAACTGGAGAAAGGGGGGAATCCAGACTCTGTTTCAGGCAACAATGATTCCAGCTTTTGTCTCTTACTGGCTTTGTGTGTGCACAGATGTGTACATACACATAGGTACAGGTACTGGGACTTGAACTCAAAGCCTGGAGTTCTCTCTTGGCTTTTTTTTTGGGGGGGTCCAGTCATGGGGCCTGAACTCTGGGCCTGGGCGCTGTCCCTCAGCTCTTCAGCTCAAGGCTAGTGCTCTACCACTTGAGCCACAGCGCCACTTCCGGCTTTTTTCTTTTTGCTTATGTGGTGCTGAGGAATGGAACCCAGGACCTCATGCGTGCAAGGCAAGCGCTCTACCACTGAGCCACCTTCCCAGCCCTTATGGGGCTTGAACTCTGGGCCTGAGTGTTGTCCCTCAGCTCTTCAGCTCAAGGCTAGCACACTACCACTTAAGCCACAGCACCACTTCTGGTTTTCTGGTGGTTTATTGGAGATAAGAGTCTCATGGACTTTCCTGCCTGGGCTGGCTTTGAACCGAGATCCTCAGATCTCAGCCTCCTAAGTAGCTAGGATTACAGGCGTGAGCCACCAGCGCCCGGCTTGGGATTTCTCGTTTTTGTCAGTACTCAAGTTTGAATTCAGGGCCTTGCAGTCACTGGGCAGGCACTGTGTCCCTTGAGCCACACATCCCCAGCCTAAGGATGTGATTTTAAATATGGACCTCCAAGCCATTGTTCTCAACCATCACCTTTCCTTAGTACCTTCTGTGCCA